GGCTTCCTCGCCGACCTCCCCCTGAAGCTACAGGCGCCCGGCAAGACTGCGACGGGAGGCCCGGAGCGCGACCCCCTGGTGGACCACGGCCAGGCCCTCTTCTGGGAGGGCGCAGTGCAAGGAGTGACGGAGCTGCACCAGCGGATCAGATGCAAGGACGACTGGTGGAACCAGGCGCCCGAGGGAGCAATTGAGCGCAGCGACCGCGCAAGCAGATTAAAACACAAAAGCATCTAAGAGGACGTCGCACACGCCCGATTCCCCCCTCCGGCCAACGACACGCTCTCGGCATGCAACAAAACAGGAAACAACGGAAAGCCTTGGTACTGTCCCCTTCCACCGACCCGCTCCACAGGTCGTGGACGAGCTGCGCGATGGGATGCTGTCCGAGGACAACCACGCCTACCTCCACGGCAGCCCAGTCGAAGGTTGCACCCTCACGCGCGAAGAGCGACGCTCCAGAAAGCGAGTGGTGGATGGGCCCGAAGACGCACGACTCAGAGAGCCCAAATTCGTGCACGGGCCTGTGGTCGTGCCGAACAACGACGCCAAGTACCAGATCAACAAGGACCGCGCCAAGGCCTACGCCCGGGATGCGGGCGCCCGGCTAGTCTGGTCCGTGGCCAAAGACAGGGCCGGCGCAGAAGCGCTCCAAGCCCAGGCGTGCGACAAAGAAGCAAAGGTCCGCTGGCTGCAGTACCACGACATGCACACGGAAGGGCTCTGCGGAATGCTTCCCCTGGCCATCGGCATGCCCGTCGCGCTGACGCACCACGTGGACCGCTCCAACAAGAAGCTGCTGAAGGGCCGCACAGGGCACATCCACTCCTGGGTCTGGCACGAGAACGACCAACAGCCGAGCATCGTGTGCCCCGGCGGCAGTCGATAGCTCCGAGAGCACACCCCAACAACAACAACAAAAAAACAGCACGCGGCCGTGTGCCGCGGTCGTCTACGAGCCGTGAATTCGAGTCCCCGGCCAACAACAACAGCCCGGAGGAAAGGGGAACTCAGGGGCCCCATCCTGCATACACCTCCGCTTGCGTAGCCGGCATCACAAGCGAGGTTCGTCAAAATTGGCAAGGCCGACTGGACCCTCAAGGGCACGAAGGTGCGCGGTCTCTGTCCACGCTTATCACTGTCTAGCTCAGTAATGTCACACCAGTCGTCGATCGCATCTTCGTAGGCAAACCAACTACATTACCATCATACGATGGAGGTACTTTGGTGGTCACCTGCTGGAAAGCTGAAAGACGGTGTAGTTCATTGAGATGACGATGATTAATCGCGAAAGATTCACTGCCGTGAAGGAGGTAGTCATCATCTCCTCCATCATGCTCAAAGATAGTCGCAGAGTGGCTAGCCATTGCGCTGTACTGGATCGAGCCCCGCGAGACACCTCTTCCGGTTATCTTCACTTGAGTGAAGTGTGCCGGAGAGACTCCGGTCACCTTCACTTGAGTGAAGCACACCGGGTATTCCGGTTGCCTCCACCTGTGTAGAGAGTACCGAACGGGTACCTCCACAAGTGTGAAGCTTCCCGTTTCCCGGGAGCTCCGCTACCACGTTGAGATGTAACCTGGACCTGTATCCCCTCGCTAGGCGTACAGGAACACAGGCACTCAGGTGTCTCCTTTGCTACAGGCGCACAGCTGTAGTCCACTGCACTAGAACCTTGAGCAACAGGCATGGATACATGCAAGTGATACGTGAAACAGACAGGCACCTGGATGTGTAACATTCAGTGTTTCACCCCCCCCCGAGCAAGGAAACCAAACGGACCCGAAAGACCCAGAGGCGGAAAAGAAACCCAACCCGCAGAAAACCCCGGAAGGGACCCCCCCCCCGAGAAAACCCTAGCAGAGCAAGGTCACGCCCATTTTTCGTTTCAGCCGCCAGGGGCCGGAAGTAATCAGTGAAAGCGTCTGAGGCGCCTTCCCCTCTCTGTCGCCCTCGATGTTCAGGTTCGGGAAAGGGAATCGGCACCTGAGGCAACCGTACCCCCCCCCTCTCCCAAACATCGAGGCTGTCCTGGGGCAGCAACCCTCATCTCCGCGTCCAACTCCAGTTCTCCCTTGACTGTGTCGGCAAGGACGTCCAGGGACTGGAGGGCTTCCAAGCCGAGAAGACCAGACGCCAAAGCTGCGTGGAGGCCTCCGGGCCCAAGCGGATGCGGAAGGGGTTCTGTCCCGGCATCTTGTGCGGGGCTGCATCCAGCAGCGGGCCCGTGCCCTCAAACTTCCGGCAAAAGAGCATGCGCCCCTGGATCCATCTCTCACGCTCTGCTTGCGGCTGCTTGCGGCGGGGCAGTGACGATGGCCTGCAAGACCACTTCGCCATCGAAGATCTCCAGGAGCCAGCCATGCATCTCGTGGCCCTTGAGCCACTTGCCCTCAACTGTGAGTCCCTGCCCCATTCCGTCCTGCAAAGGGTGCAGGCATAACGGTTCTTGGTACGCTTGCTCGAGTCGACCCTGGTGTAGTCGAAACCAGACAGGGCCGGGAGGACCATGCCACATTCCATGTGGATCCAGTGCCTCTGGTTGGGCTTGTCCACAAAGTTCGGGGCCTTTGACCCAAGCTCCTCCAGCGCAGCGGTAGTACTGAAAGGCCGCTGCCCACTTGTGCTTGCCCGAGAAAAACGACTTGAGGTCGACCGGGAGGGACTCGATGGGCAGCGTGACTCTGTGGTCATACTCCGCTCGCAGCCGAAGCCTGTCCTTGGAGTCCACGACCGAAGCTCATCCGGCGGAGGATGATAGCATAGTCCTCCGGGCACTTGGGTTCTCCATCCACGACTTTGCCTTCATACGCAGGTCGAGGAAGGCCTGGCGGCGGGCAGCCCGATACTCTCCCCGTTTCCGGAGGTTGGAGCGCACCAGGGGAAACCCCCTCTGAAACTTCTTCTGGCCCGCGTTCTTCGTTGGGCCCACCATGTTCCAGATATCCTTGGCCGAGAGCACGCTGCCATGGCAGTTCAAAAGCTCCCTGAGGGTCACCGTCTGGAGGTTGAGCCGCCAGTGGTGAGGCCCGCTGTCTGCCTCCCTTCAGCCCCTGGCTTCGAAAGCGCCACCATAGGGTTGAGGAGGTTCCCCACCGTCTCCGGGATCTGGAGGCTGTACGCCGCCAGTTCGTGCTTGGCGAAGATGGAGTTCACTGCGTGCATCGCCTCGGAGAAGGCTGAGTGGTCCAACCCGCGTACCACTCGTCAGCCGCCTCTGGGTGACCTCGCCCGGGCACCGCACCCACCTCCACCCCGTGAGGTAAGACTGTTTCTTACACATCTGAAGCATGGCGTCCAGGGTCCGGACCTGGTCTTCAAGAGTCTCCGGCGCCTTCGTCCCTTGCAACTCCGGGAACGGCTTGCTGAAGAGGGCCGGATTGAAGAAGGTGGCCACCCGCTGGATCTCAGCCTGGTGCTTGAGATCCCCACCTTCGATGTCCTCCGGGGTGTTCGGGATCGACTCGATAAGTTTGTGGACCGCCACCACTTCTTGCTGGATCCGGCCGAGCACGTCAGGGTCCCGCTCTTGGAACCCCGAAAAATCACCCGTGACTCCTTCTGCATGGCGCCCCACCAGTTGGGAGGAGTGCCTTCTTTGCCACCTCTTCAACTGTCCCTTCCTCCATGGCCGCCTGCCCCAAGGCCTTGAGGTTCTCCATGGCGATGTCCTTCTCCGTGGGCGCCCGCTCTGGTTTCGGGTCCACCCATCGGCACCTGAGGCGACACCCCTCTGCCTTCTCAGGCGCGGTTCCTCGCCAGGTCCAAAGCTGGCCTCCACAGAAGAGCCGTCCAGGAAGGAGATCAACAGGGTGCCACCAGCCTTCGCCTACATTTTGGTCACGTTGAAAAGGGACAAGACGCGGCCCGGGTCCAGAGGGGCTGTCGAAGTGCTCCCAGCCTGCTGCCCGAAGTCCAGGAGATTCCCTGAAGCATGTGCCTGTAGGAGACCCAGGGGGGAGGAGCAATCCACGTGGTCGAAGATGTTCTTAGCGACATCCGCCCCGGAACCAGGTCCAGGAGCGCAGCGCCATTCTGGATCGGGGTCTCCATCAGCGACCGGAGGTTGCATATTGCCATGCCAAGCTTGGTCAGGACTGTCCTGACCGTGGGCACGTCCGCATACTCCTTCAAGACGTGGGCCATCTCCCCCTTCTGCACCACCAGGATGAGCGGGAGGGCGTCCCTCTCGCAGCAGGTGAGGATGTCCATTCCCTGGGCCTTGAAGGCAACGGAGGCCGCTTCGTTGGCAGAGGCCCAAGCGACCAGCTTCGAGTGTGCAAGGGCATCTGTGGGTCTTGTTCTCAATGGCAGCCCCCTCTGACTGTTGGGCCGCGTCCTCCAAGGTGATGCGGGCGTTGGCCATGTCCGGGCTAAAGACCACACCGCATTCATGTGGCTTCTGTTCCGGACCATCCTGAGAGTCCTTCCTAGGGCAGTCTAAGTCCGAAGCGAAAAGGAGTCCTTGGGCAGCCTGGTCTGACATCTGCTGCGCCAGAGCCTCCGATGAGTCCCCCCCCCCGGCCAGCGGCACCTGAGGCAACCGGACCGGGTGAGGAGTCCTTCCCCATCGGGCCGGCAGCGTTGAGGGCAGCAGAAAGAGTCGGGCCGGGCAGCTTCCGTTCATATTCCGTCTGGGGCCTGCCATACCCTGACCCTCCAAAAGACGCTTAGAAGGGGATTATGCTCTTGCAAGGGTTTTTAGTTAACTCAACAAGCGCTTAAGATAAGGGTTTGTTAAAAGCACAAGCGTTTATGTGCAACACAACAAGCGGTTAACAGGCGCTTAACAAGCGCTTATATGCATATATATATATATATGTATATATATATATGGATGTATATAAAGCTCATGCATTTGTCCTCCCTCCCTCCCACATGCATGAGTCTGATCGCTCCTCCCTCCCTCTCCGAAGCGCGGATGCGAAGCTTGCTCGGCGACCGAGTGCGAAATACATGGCTCTAGGTTCCAGACGAGAATTTTTTCTGTGCAGGCAGGCTCAGTCGAAGTGTGGCACCGAGAACTCAGCACTGAATTTGTTCAGCGCCTGAAAAGAAATCGACCACTGGTTGACAGGGCCACCTTTGGCATGTGCCACCCGTGCCATGGTTCCACCTGCCTCTTCATCCCTGTACACCCAGTTGTCAGAGGGTTTGTCGCCTTTCAAAGCAATCTCTGCAAGCATGTGAAACTTGGGCTTCATGACCCATTTGCCTTCGTCGGCCATTGTTTCCAAGACCGAATACTGACGTAGGAAGGCAAAGCAACATTCTCTGAAGTAATTTCGCTCCCACTTCAAGGCTGACAAGCAATCGTAGCAGTCCACGAGATACTTGATCACCCAGCGTATGGACGACTCGAAAACATCCTGCGGGTCCAGCATCTCGTCTGCGATTTTCCATGCAAACCTTGAGTCAATATCGCACTTCAAAGTCACAACATGTTCCAAACTCCTACTACATATGCTTCTACAAAGGAATGCTTCTCTCATGAGGCAAGCTGCGGAATCATGGCCCTCGTCTCTGCTGCTCTCAAGTTCATCTTCGGTTTTGGCTTGTCGGGTTTCTTGATCATTCCCAGGGTTAGCTTGCCGATGCAATCCTGAATGGAATTCTCCCGGTAGAATTTCTTTATCTCCAGAAAAAGTGTGGCCACCTGAACTTTCTGGTTGTTTCCCAGTCTGGGAAGCACATACCAGAATAGGTTTCCTAAGCAATCTTGGGCACAGCCCAAGTCCATGATGTGCAGCCAATCCATCTTGAAGCAAGTCGTTGAAAAGAAAGGGCAGCGGAAAATCGTGGAGATGAGCCTTGCCTCGTTCAGCTGCCTCTGCAAAAAATCCCAATGCCCATATCTTTCCAGCATCCAGGGTGCATTTTCAGAGAAATCTTTGTAATTCGTCAAATCGGCACTGCATCTCATGCAGATGCCAGTCTTGGCTCCCCAGTGCGGCAGGCCAAAAACTTCAGGCAAGCATTTCCAATCGGCCCGGAGCTCTGCAAGGATGCATCTATGTGCGATCTCACGGCCGGCGTGCTTATTCCGCCATGCCTCTGCAAAAGGTTGGCCGTCGTGGCCATGCCTAGGCATGGTTCCCAACAAAAGCTGCTGGCTGGACCAGGCCATAATATCCCATATGTCTTCGAAGCTCTCGCCCTTGGATATATTGTTCTTAGGCAAAGCAGTCACGGGAAACCTCCAAGTGTGATGCGGGGCAGGAAGCTGAGGCAAACTCATCAGGATGACTTCGAGGGACTTGCTTCTATCCCAATTGAAAGGCGTGGCATCAGTCCAAAGCGAGAAAGGAATGACCTCAAACCCGAGTTTGCGGGATGCCTCCAGGCAGTGGTCTTGCACAGATTGTGCACAGCATGCCAAATCATGGAAAGGATAACCCGGGTTCGTTTGAAACAAAACGTACATAATCTCATGGGGGAGCATAAAGCCCACATCTGCATATCGGGCGACCTCGTGCTTCTCGTCCCAAATGCGAATTTCGGCAGTGTATATGGGTGGCCACTGGCTTTTCTTAAGACATCGTCGTAACAAATCTCGAGCAGCATTCTTGCCCGATTTTTCAGGAACCGTCTTGAAGCCGCTGAGGCCGCATGCTGCAGCATCGGTCTCGAGACCTGTAGCCTCGATCGCACTCAAGCTGGAAGACAGGAAAAGGTTGTGCACCCTGTTGCGAAGCCTTTTGGTAGGGGATGCGATAGCCCCCGGCTTGCCTTGCTGCTTGTTATGAAACATTGCAATGCTTGAGCCTTCCAAACCTAGTGTGAAAAGCGGAGGATTCCACTCAACTCTCGGTCACAAAGCCCAAGGCAACCAATCGTAGATAAAAGCAAGGCAGCAGGCAAAGCAAGGATGATCAGAGATTAAAACCGTAAGTTTGACGCTCAGCGGAAAGGCAGCACTAGAACCCCCAGGTGCTAGCGGACCTTTTGCTGGACCTGACGCAAAGTCGGTCTTGAGCTGTCAAGCTGCGTAGTGAGACAAAGTTGGCGTGAATCCTAACCAAGACACAGAAGCACATGTACGCATGTCCGTGACAAATCACACCCCCCTCGACGCGAGCTCACGCGTGAGAAGAGCGGAGTTTAGGAGAGCCACGTACACTGGTTGTGCACCGAGCCACACCTCTTCCGGTCAGCTAAGCTTAAAGCAGTAAGCACCATTAGATGTGGGTCGGTCTCTGCATCCGGATCAAACCTATGCTTCACTTCTGTACAGACGCAGCCTTTTTGTGATCGTCAGGTGCATAGCGATTTGCCGTGTGATCGTTGGCAATCGGATGTTCCATCGGATCTATGCGGGGGTAACACACTAGACTCAACGCGCTCAGAGTGTAGACTCGGCAGCATCGAATGTCCGTGAAAAAAGAGGGACACACGAGGAAAATACCATGGCTAACCATTGTACCCCTGTGGGTCTTCTCAGCGCGGCGCAGGCAAGGAAGGCTGAGGAAGTAGCGGAAATTGTGTCATAGCCGGGCTTCACCATCAGACTCCGCCTGACCCCGTAATCGCGTGACGCAAGGGTCAGAAAGACTCAACCGGATTCACCTTGCAGTGACACAATACGTCGCTACGTATGTTGACGGTCGTTACCTACGACTTGTGGGGCTACGGGTGCGGTCCTTATGTCCTCGTCCAGAACCGCCCCTTCCTTTGTTTCCCTTATCGCCCTTTCCTCGGCCTTTCTCCTGCTTTCCTTTTCCTTTCTCGGCTTTCCCTCTTCCTTTGCCCTTCGTCGGCTGCCTCGTGTCATCAGTTTCATCGATGAGGCCTGTCACGTTGGATCCGGTTCGGGATTTGCCCTTAGCCGTGGTCTCTTTGGCTGGGCCCATCGTTCGAGATCGCGGCTCCGAAGAGGCAGTATCGGAAGGAGCTGGCGGAGCAACATTCGTTTCTTCAGCAGCACGCTGTTGCGTGCGTCCCCGTGCTTCTGCACTTTTGATCACCTGAGCCGGCGCTGGTCGCGCAATCGAGGGAGCCCACTTTTCATCGCGAGGCAACTTCGATGGCGGATTCGACGCAGTGCGAACGCTAGGTGCCGGGAACTGGGGATTAATCCGCTCCTGTGTCGCAGCGGACGTACTTCCAGGCGATGCTGCTCGCCCCGTCCCCGTATTCCCGGTATGGGGAACAGTAACGCCAGCCGCCCTCATAGTAATATCGTCATCGGGATTTGCGCCCATCGCGATGATGACGGCTGCGGCTTTCTTCCTGATGATGGAAAGCGTGTTCGGCGCATGATACATGCGAATGATGTCCTCAATCGTCGGGTTATCCAGATCCGACTCCGGAACCCGAGTCTTCATTCGCAACACTGAGGGCAACCGCATTCGATCGGAGTATTCTGCCCTCCCCGACACCATTAACGGTTCTCCATCAGGATGGGCGGCGCTGTAGCCTGTTTGCCGATGTGATTTTCGAGTCGGCAAATTTGATGGCGGCGGCATGTTATGAGGCGGAGGCGGAGTCGTCTCGGGAGCGACACCTCCGAGATGCTCTCGTCCGGTGCGCTGTGATGTTGGATCGGGTCGTACCGCTCGATCGAGCTCAGTATCATCCTCATCCTCGTCATCCGTAGGAATGGGAACGGCATGAGCCTCGGGGATCGGCGCTTGTCTTTGCTCGGTGACCTGCACTCTGCGCTGAGGTGCAGGGTCTCGCCGTCGTGCCTGGCGAGCCGCAACATCGAACACTCTTGGAGGATCATCCAGTTCATCGGGGAGAGCCTCGAAGACGTCCTCAGCCCTTTTCATCAGAAGCGGGTCAGTGCTATTTGCATCGGGAAGCTGATCCTTGACTCCTTCAACAAGATTGAAGAATGTCTTCTCTGTCGCACGATCGTCGTCAAAGCATTCTTTGATCTTGACAGAGTGATCGCGAACGAACTCCTTGAATTCCTTACGCGCCTCTTCCGGCGTTTCGGCTGCATCAAGGAGTGCCGTATTCCCCTCAGCAATAATCGTGAATCGGGGATCAGAGTGATGCGGAATAAGTTTCCGTCCTAAGGGATCCAACTCACGCCAGTTGATGGCTTGGACGTTGGATTCGTCTTCCCCTTTGCCTTTCCCTTTGGGCTTCTCGCTTGCCGCTGCGGCTCCTTCGATCTCTTCTGCTTCATCGTCAGAGATATAGCCAGGCTCACCTTTTGTCGGAATGCCGTAGCATGTGGTAAGGGTAACCTTGGCCAGGAGCGCGGAAAGGCTCTCACTGTCGACACGCATGTATCGTTGATACTTTTGCGTATCCGTGATAGTGGCACGGAATTCATCCAACGTTCCAAACTCGGTGGAGAGTCGAATGTGCCGCCTCATCGCCAAATTGGCGTTTTGCAAGGGCAGATGAGCAAGTCGGATCTTTTCTGCCATCTCTTGGTCGACGGTATAATCGACCGTCACACCTGTGTAATAGGGGGATAGATACCCTCGCGACAGGCAGACTCGATATGCGCGCTGGCAGTGAATCGACCAACGTGCATAGTAGCACAACGGCTTTTCGCGACATGTGGCGAAGACCGCTCCAAAGTGCTTGACAATCGTGGCAGCACATGCGATCGACTGTGAGTTGAAGAAGTCTTCTACTCCACATCGAGCTTCCTTGCCAGTGATACCGGCAACAAGCCTCTCAATGGAAATGTCCAAGCGAATGGCGCCCTGAATCGTACCGCGCACGCTTCTCTTGAACAGTTCCACTTCCTTCGGCGATGTGTCAGCAGCGGTGCATTTGATCGGTGGCACTCCGAAGAATGCGGTCTGCCTATGGTCCTCAGCGAGAGACCTAGACACCGGGAAATTCCTCAGCTGCTTGATCGCAGGAAACTCGTGAAGCTGGAATTCGGTAAGCTTGTTACGCTCGATCAGATCATTGAGCCACTCAGCATGACTTCCGTAATATTCGACCTGGAAGGGGTTCACAGGATCGGCGTAGAACATCCCATCAGGATAGTGAATCGGCTTAGTGCAAGAGTGACACATGTGGAGACCAACAGGGAATGAAGCTCCGCACATGGGGCAGTCGAAGCTAGCGAGTGGCCACGTTTCTCGTCTGTGGTCTCCCCTCTTGGGTCCAGTGCCAAACTTCGGGCCTCCGATATATTTGAAGGCCGTGTTGAACACTAGAGATCCCGTATCCATGAAGTATGCAATCGGCATACATGCGAGAGGGATACTGTCCTTGATCGCGTAGTACCCTCTCGGATGGAATGTAATCGGATTGATACCTGCTGCAATCATGTGCAAATCAATCGCGAACACAATCATGCGGTTGGATCCCATACCTTCGGGGAGCATGCTTTGTGATGACGCGGTGTTCGACAGCGTCTCACGTCCCGGGTTCATTCGGACGTTCATGTACACCTCTTCCCACTCGTTGTTCTTCCCAGATCCAGGGGCATACGGGAGCAGTGTGAGGAAGAGCTGCCCCTTTGGGGGATTGAGCTTGCAATCGTTCATGTATCCGAAGAACTCGCGAATCGTTGCGCATCCCCATCCGTACTGGGGATGATATCGGGCCACATTTCGTCTCCTCTCGCCATTGACATAATGTTCTTGAGCGAGCTGAGTGAATGGCCCGTGCTGACACTTGATCAGCAATCGGAATCGGTTGAAGTTATCGGGACCGAAACCATAGGTTGCTCGGACGCCAACAAATTGAGGACTTCCATCGTCGTTGATCGTCGAGTAGAAGAACTCAAACATTCGGTTGTTGTCCGTTCGAGCAATTTCCGTAATGCACTGGACGGTGAGCTCACTCGGCTTATCGTCATCGTCCAGAATGCTAGTCTGGAGAAGCGTCCGGCCGCTGAACTCGCCAGCGTTGGCCTTCATGTATTCCCTCTCGCGTTCCATGTACATCGGAATGACATCGAAAGCGATGATGCCACTCTGGTCGAGGAATGAATACAATGGGACGCCCCTCTCTTTGTCCTGGGGGCGATTCTGTGCTCCGACGGCAGTCGAGGATGGACGCTCCTTTGTTTGCGTCAGCACTCGGAACAGCAGCTTACGCACCAAACTGATCATGCCTGCGTCCGGAATCCTGGCGGCAGGGATATTTTGTGCGTCATCGATGAGCAATCGGCTGCATGACACTGATGTTCCGCCGATAGATCGGTATGTCGCCTCCTTGGCATTGTAGGCTCGGACAGCTTCATGGATCTCGCGGCAGTCCTCATAAGATTCCGGTCGGAGGAAAGAATCGTGTTCTCCTTTGAGCGGTTTCTTGTGAAGCGCCATACCCAAGTACACTGTCTGATTCGAGGACAGCATAGCAAATCGGCGTCTTGAATACTTGCGCTGCTCGTCAGTCGGTGGGAGACAGGTCGCAGAGACCAATCGACCATGGACGGAGTCATCGATGCCCATGTCGAGTCCCGGAACGACGAAATCTGGCAGTGCAATCGGGACAGACGTCATTTCGTACTGCACGATTGGCGCAATGGAGTCAATACCCCTTTCGGGCAGCTGATCGGGGCGATGAATCGTTGTCGCCTTGATACCAGGGCCCTCGATCCGGCAGTTTCTCGGATCATTTGCCGCCTGATCGGCTGTGGTGCTGGCCGGATCAATATCGACTTCCGGTCCTCGAGCACCGGAGAGCGCGGCTCCCTGAGCAACCATGTCATTCGGAGGACTGGAACGCAGGCCGTGTTCCGGAGGGCTCTCAGCGGTTCGGGCAGCTGGCGGCGGGGCCTTGCCGGGGACCTCGTCTTGCAGCTCCTTCCCGCTACCCATATCTGCGTCCTCCTCGGGTTTCTGCTCGGGTTTCTGACCGGCCGTGTCATCATCCATTTTGGTATCATCGTCATCCTCCTTTGCACTCTCTTCGGACGCCCTCGGAGGTGCTGCCGCAGTAGGCGGAGGAGGAGGAGCCACGTTTGGCGGAGGCGGCGCAATCGCGCGCTCAGATGCAACACTAACCTGTTCAGTGGACGGAAGATCGTTGTCCGCCGCGCCATCACCCTGGCTACTCAGGGCACCTGAAGCATCACTGCGACGCGAGGAAGAAGCGGCAATAGATCGGGCATGCTTCTGGAACTCACTCGCAAGGAATCCAGCAGTGTTCCGCAGCTGTACTGCCATACTACGCTGGAACTGGGACAATCTGTCATCCCCAGATCGACCAGTAGTGCCGTAGCTCAAGTCATCGGTGAGCCCCATCAGGCTCTGCACTGGATCTTCCTCCGGCTTACGGAACTCAGTCACTCGTCGTTGCATGGCGAAGCCCGGTGGCAGCTTGAGGTCCTCTCTCGTCAACCTTGCCGCCGTGTTGTTCACCAGGGCCACCCGCATGGATTGAATGACTTTTCCAGGGGTAGGCGCGATGAGGTCCGGCCAATCATCGGGGGTCGGAACCTCAAGGTCCTCTGGTTTGAATACCATCTGCTCAAAGGACATCGCACCCATGCCACGGTGTCGGATGGCAATCTGCAACGACTGGTATGTGTTGAGAAGCGATCGAGCCATACCATACGTCGACGGAATGTGCGGATGGAACACAGGGAGGGTTGACATGCTTGCAACCACTGCATCCAGGTTGGAAATGATCGCACCAACCTTAGCTTCAAGCTCCCCCCTGTTTCCATACTCTGGAGTCCATCGTGCATCGATGGCAGACACAGTCTCACCAGTGTCTCGGTTGATGAGCACAGGCGTGAATCGGTCGCTGGCCATCTCCCTGATGAGATTGCTGTTCGATTCAACCCGACGTCTGCCTTGAGCCAGTCGGTTCGTGACAGCGTCAAGCGCATAGTCACCCGGGGGATACAAGGCACCCTGAAACACATTGTCATCGCTCATGTTCGGGTCCAAGACCTTGGCTAGCCCATCGGCAATGGATCGAAGATGTTCGGCATTTTCAACACCGGCGGCGCCCTTTGCCACTTCAGCGATATGCGCTTTCATTGCCGCAGCTTGCTCGCGGCGAGCTTCAGCTTCACTGACTTGGCTCTCGAAGTGCGCATAAGCTTGTCGATTGTCGGCGGTGGGCCCCGCGGCTTCCTCGCCACCAACCGGCTTCGGCTTCTTCATCGTAGAGAGAGGAATCGAGGGCACGGCAGGCGGTCGTGCAGCGTCCCGATTGGCAGCGACAGTTCGCTCGGCATCTCGAGGAGTGGGCATTTTCGCGAATTCCTCAGTCATTCCTTCGAGAAGCCCATTGAACTCTTCATCGGACTCCTCCTTTTTGACTGTGGGCATTGCCGCGTCACCATCCCCTTGCTCATCGTTCTCATCGGAACTGCTGCCAGATTCTTCATCATTCATGGCAGTCGGAGCAAGGCCAGGTGACACTGGCATTGCCTCGCCAGGCACGGGAGTAGCTGGAAGCGCGATCGGATCCGGATGACGAACACCCGGTAGATCCGCCAATGTTCCCTGTTCCTGTTTGATCGGATTCCCGGGAGCGGTCGGACCTACGTCGTCAGGCATATCGTCATCATCGTCATCATCGAAACCTAGCTGAGTCATGTCGACAGTCTCTGCGGCTTGATGATCGGCGCCGCGATCTGCACCATCGATGAGGTCCTGCACAGTGGAGTGCACAATGGCCTTCACCGCGCCCGGCGAGTTCTCTTCCGGGACTGGGGTGCGTGCCCACATCTTCTCGGCAGCGATCTCATACTCCCGGCGGGTCCCGTAAGACGGAAATCGTGCGAGAGCAGCAAGAGTGAACATCGAGCAAATGCGGGTACATAGGACCCCAATCGTCTTGGACTCATGCATAGTATGATATCCCTTCAGGTATGGCAGACCTTCAAGGATAGCGTCAAAAGACAGGGTAAGGAGGTTGGATCTCCTGATCGCGTCCCAGATCGATCTCATCTCCTCTCTGTATTTCTCGAAGAGAGGGCCAGGGAGAGTCGGAAGGTACACCATGCTCGGCGACACCGGACCGCAAAGGGACACCGATCCGTAGATCGTATTGTACTTCTCGAGAGCATCCCGGGCGGTCGTCTTGGCATATTGAGATCGTGCCATATCGATGTCGCCAGTTAGCTTGTTCCAGCCCTGGTCTATCTTCCACAGATCCTCTCCTCTCCAAAGGATGAGGACGTGCACATTCGATGGCGGGATGGAGGTCTCGCTCTGCATCATCGCGAGAGTGTCGACCATATCCTTGAGCTTGTTGTCCTCGTCGAACGCCTGCACGCGCACCTCGGAATCAGGAAACCCAAAATTCGTCAGCGCGTTCTTCAGATGGGCGTTCATCTCACCATCATGCCAAGATTTGGCAGACTTGAAGGACAGCAGGCCATCGTGCATAACAACGAATCTCTGCGGTTTGCTGGGTACCGCCGGCTTGATCGTTGGCGGTGCACCCCCAAATGCAATCGTGGAGGCCATGGTCGTGACCGTTCTGACCCCATGGATCGATACGGCCACAAGTGCATCGGCCGGGCTCCAAATCGGCGCACTAACAATATCCGTTGTTCCTTCTTCTCTGTACGGGATATTCTTGAGGCTCTTGGCGGGCGTGTAGCCGAAGTTCCCGAGCATGACACCGTATGCCTTTCGGTAGTGTCTGCACCATGCCTCCCACTCCTTGGAGGGTCCTCCGACAATCGTCTCGAGCCTTGCAGGCTTTGGCAAACCTTGGCTTCCTTCCTCTCCCATGATGGGTGCTCGAAGCTGAAAGAATGGAGCAAGCTCGAATCGGTAGCTGGAGGATTGAAGTTCGGATAGCAAGGCATACCTGCCACCGACAGTGGCGTGTTCACTGGTCCCGTGAGAGTCAGGCATCCAGTGGTTGCGGCGAAGCACTGCTGGGTGGACTGTGACTCGGTCCGTCGCCTCATTTCCACCCTCCGCAGCCTGATCGTCAGCCGCGGTCGCCCTAGATTGTTCCGTCTCGGTGGAAGCAACCTGTTGAGTAGTGTTGCCCCCTTGAATCGTGAGGTCGGCAAACTCGACACTGTCGCGAGCGACGCTTTCTCCCAGCAGCTTCAGAATGCGAGGATCAATCGGGCTCGCTTCCATCCATGGGTGCCAGGCCACAGCTTTTGTCCCGTCGGCACTAAGGAATCGGTGACCATGGATGACGTATTGTGGAGAGGTAGAAACCCCTTGCTCGCGGTCATCCAGAAGGCGGAAGGGCCTGAACGCGATCCCGCACAGCTCGAGGAATCGAGTTCCGACGCGGATCTGTTTCTGGGATCCTCCCAGCTTCTTCGTCGTGCGACCGTGGGTGTTCACCACAGTCCGGGAGACGCAGATCATCACTTGAAACCAGTATCCTCCTCCGAGGTATGTGCCAGACGCGTAGCTACCGGCAGCCTCGGAAGCGTGTCCAGTCACCCAGACGCAGGGTTCGTGACTTCCATGATCGTCCGTCACGTAATCCTCCCCGAACAGACCTCCGTGTGCAAGAATCGACCAGAGGTATCGGAGGTTCGTTCCGTGAAGGAACGTTTCCTGAGGATCGTATATGTCCGAATTCATCGCGGGGACATACACCCATCCATCAGTCGGGCGGATGGTAGCCTGCCCCGCACCGTCCTCATAGGTCATAGGGGTGCTGGCTCCCCAGTTGAGCGTATCATCGATGCTAACGCACCGGCCGGGGTAGGCCTCAACCATCGCTTTCATGAACGAGACCCACCCGCGCATTAACGGGGTATTCTCATCGTCGTCTTCGTTGCGAAAGGCGGCTGCTTCCCCGATCCCGTTCGCGTCCACGGCAGGAAGATCGTAGCCGTGTTCCTTGCGATCGTTATCGAGGTGAGTTGCTTGCTCTTTCAAAGAGTCCAGCGTGGGAAATCGGTTAAGAGCCTTGAGCGCCAGAAACGCTCCAGGGATGAACGATAGCGTCGGCCTGAGCTGCAGAAATCCCTTGAAGAACTTCACAGCTTCAACCTGGCTGACCGCCTCCCTTGACAACTCAATGGGCGACAGCTTGGTGAGGTCGTTGTGTTTGATACTCGTATCGGTCCTCAACCATCGCTGTTCAGCAGTCGAACTGCTATATCCCATGAGATTTCGGTTCCAGCTCGCAAGAGGCGACGGGATGTAGCAGGGTCCCATGAGCTGGAGCGTAGCGTTGCTCAGCATATCTCGGGATCCCTTAAAGCTTTGCGCTTGGAAAAGCATACAGTGGCGAGCCAGCGCCATCGTAAGGTCCATTTTCTCGCGGACCCCCGCGGCGTCACCAGACAACGTCGCCACTCGGGAAAATGCAAGAGCGCACATCACCCTGTATCGGTCGATGAAGTCCATAAACTCTTGGGGGTACTGCTTCCTCTGCTTATCCGCAAGCGGATGAGTAGTGAGAAGGAAGGAGTCAACCAGCTGGTGCAGCTTGAGATCGTACCCAGAGTTGCATGTCAGCTGCTCGAGGCGTTGCCAGATTGAGGCCTGTGGGATCTCTTGAATCCCAATCTTCAGCATCATCATCTTCATCCTCAATCCTATCGGAATGTCCTCGGAGCGCTTTCCACCCCCTGTGGACTCATCTCTCGGGGTCTGAATCGGGACAGGGGCTTCATCGGTACCCATGTTGGAATCATCCTGCTCCGTGGGAATCGGCGGAACAGGAGGCCTTTCCGTAGTCGGTGCGATCGCACCGCTCGGAAGGCCTTCCCTGCATAGCGAGGGGGACTTCGGCTGGGGTGATCGGGCAGCCGGTGTCTTGGCAGCAGCCTTCTTCGGTGGCTGCTTGTTCTTTCCTCCCATCGATCAGCAGCGGCGGCAGCGCGGGGAAGTTCGCAGCCCGTGGCAGCTACAACCTGTCCTAGCAGGGAGCGCAAGTGGGCTATAGACTGGGTCGTAGTAGAGGTGGTCTGTGATGGTCGGTTGATGAAGGTGATCTATGATCATCTTCCCTAGAGCTCCTTACCAAGTTGTGTCAAGTGTAAGTGTGCAAGTGTGTGTGTGAACATGGCCTTGGCGTCTTTGTTTAAGCAATCGGCTACGCGGATTGCTGTGAGCCAAAGATTGCAGAGTTCATGAAATGTTCAAGCACAGTCCACAGTGCAAGTCGAAGCTCCTTCGGGTCGGCCCTTTTGACCTTCTTGTGATTGCATGCAAATCGTGACATGAAGATGGGCCCAAAACGGGCAGGCATGAACATCTCACACATCCATGCATGCTGGGAACATCGACCAGAGGAGCACGAGCACAGTTTAACAGGGCACAGCTCGTGCGACTCAGACCATCGTCGTATATACTCCCTACCCCACAACGGGTTTCCCTTCGGCAGCACAAGAAACACAGGGATTCCGGATGAGCGGGCAGCGGAAGCATACCCGAGTAATTTCTTGGCTTCCCATCCTTTTTCCTTTAGGTCGCCCCTCATTTCTTTCCAACCCCTGTTCTTGAAACCAGCTTCTCTTTTGTTAGCGGTGCCAGCAATCGGAACAGTGACAATACATACCGCAGGCGTAGGCGGGACCCTGATGTTCGAAATAGCAATCCCTTTTGCATTATCATCGAGACTGAGATTGATACTTCGAGCATGAGGGAATCGGATTATGCCTTCGCCTCCGATATGAATACATTTTACTGCTGCTCCGAATTGGTGAGCATCATCGATCGAAACACCCCCCTGACGAGACATGTCAAGGATGAAATCGTTGAAGGGGGTATGACCGGTTTCAAGATGTACCCCCCTGGTTGGACAGACAGAGGGGAGAGCAGGGAGAGCGGGAGCGGCAGACAGCATACCGGAGGAAATAAGAGTACCCTTACGAAAATGACCAATAGACATAAGGTTGCGGCCCCACACCTTAGCATCAGTGCAGGCCTTGGTCAGAATATCACCAGCCTCGAATTGAGAGGGACACGTCACGAACAGAAAATCCCCAGCGTGATAACGCTCGTTCAACGCAGAGATATCGATACGCTGGGTACGAGACATGTGACGCATGTTCGGATTGTGACCAGTGATAACGACACGAATAGCGGCCTCATTGTCCTCCATGACCCGCAAGCGGAAACGGCGGCCCAACATATACTCCCACATAGACAGAGCAGGCAGGCCCAATTTATACACAGCGTGGTCAAGAGATACAATTTCGGCCTCGGGGGTAGACTTCGACACAGAAGTTTGCTTCTTGGACAAAGCATTAAGAGGCATAAAGCTACGCGGTCCAAGAAGACACATAAAGACACCAGAGGTACTCTTGGAATCAGTACGGTCACCCGCAAGATCGGCATCGCAGTAGAGCACAAGCTCCAGCATCTCGGGTGCATCACCAATCCACCCATACAAGTTGAGATCGAGGGTAGAGTTGATATAACACACCAGTCGATGGAGTTTCTTATCACACAAGCCATCCCACTTGGTGATGAGACTGGCAAGTGCCTGCACAGGACGGATTAAATCGTACCGCCCCATGCGAGCACCATATAGAATTTTCATCAGAACGGCGGCTGCACAGTCGCCGAGAACGCCCTTACCAGGAGGCACAGGCGTGTCAGCGGGATGGCCCAATAAGGGGTTCACAGCAGGGCGATCCGGATTGGTATCGAATTCCGGTCGTGATTCATCGAGGAATGGCGTATCAGCCGACCGCAAGGTGGCCTTATACTTAGGGCCACAGAGCTCAACATAGCGAGAAACACATTGTTCCATGAACGATCGCATATCGTATTTGATCATGCGAATTTCTCGAGGACCAACAGAGCCCTGCGCGACACTGGTGTCGCGATCACCAAACGTCAGCTCGGGAAACGCCTTCTTGGGTTCCTCGAAGCGCGTCCAATAGGAGCGCGGATCAAAGGCACTAGGGACAACGTGGGAGAAGGTAACATGCTCGCATCCCAAGTAACGTTTGATGCTCGAGGGCGGCTCCAATTTAATCTTCGATGCCATGAGCTCCCACCCTTTTGCCAGATTGGCCTTTGGTCCACTGAGCTTAAAATCATCGACGTAGACCACGAGCATAAGATTAAGTTTGGGATGACGAAATACACTCTTCCAGTCGGGACACTGCTCGAACCCAACTGATCGAAGAGCCTTCGCACAATGCTGTTCCCAGAAACCACCGGCATCCGGATGCCCATAAAGGGCCAGCACTAGGCGTACGACCGGATCGTGATATTTGCCTTGCCATTCGGGCAACCAACGATCCTTGGGCAAGCGGACCCACGTGGCCGGGCCGCCAAGCTTGGCCTGAGTATAGGCAGATTCGCCATCGGCAACCTGTATTTCATGACCAGGAAGAAGGCCGAAGGCATCGGCGGCCTTTCCAGCTTCCATGGTCGCGGGGCAAGAGGTGATCTCGGAGAAAATAGCCCAATTATTGCCCTCGTCTTTGACATGACATCCTTCGAACACCACTCGACCCTTAAATTTGCGATTAGGGTCGGACTCCGGAAGCTCGGCATTCTTCTCAACGCATATATCGAAGATACGGCCAACGTGGGCCGTTTCCCCTTTCGCCATAGCCTCGTTAGACACATCGCGCCACTCACGCACGGATGCGTAATCCCAACATCCTTGGTTGATGAGCTTATTCCACTCCTTGTCAAGGGCGGCTTTCGCCTTGGGATTAGCGGCACGCTCTTTTCGGTCAACGGGCCGTGCAACACACGCACTGTAGAAGAAGACCGATGAATCGGGAGATCGGTGTGAATGAGGATCAGGGCGAACAGGCATTGCAGGTGCCGTATCAATAGCGTGGCCGTCATCGGATGGTTCAACCGGCGCAGGAACATCACATTCCACGTCTTCTGCGGTGAAGTCGAGTTCAACCGCTGCCAAAACGGAAGTGTAAAACTGAACCACAGCAACGTCTTGTCCGGGCTCGACTATAATATCGTAGTCGGTAGGATTAAGGACGTCAACACCGGACTGAGTTGCCCCTCATTGTATGTGTACATGGCCGGGCAAACATCGAGGCCACTGCCGCGGAGCGGCTGAAGACGGGCGGACATACCACCCGGGGGCTCAAACTCAAGATCCGTAACGACACAGGCGCGAGATTTGGCAGGTACGACAGTACGGCCCTTTGCACGCAATGCGTGTCCATAGTAGCCATTCGCAGTCTGCACGCGGCGCCCCGTGTCATCGGCGTTCGGCATACGGGTTCGAACTTTAATCTGCGTTTTGGCGGAAGAACCGGTAACGAAGACCGTCTTTCCCGTCCATCGACACGGCAGAGACCGAGTGTCGGATGATCTCCATGAGTCCTGCAACGTGAACTCGGTACCGTCAGTCATGGCCATAGTCATCCTGACATCGGTCAATGTTGCAGGATCAACGGGACAATCTTTGACGGAGGTAGGGTTGAAGCGCGCTCGGCGTTCGATCACATGAAATCGGGTGATCGTGCCAGCTGCGACATCGTGATACCAGTAATCCTTGTCATGCCGTTCGGCACCCGACTCATATTCAGAATCGTAAGCGATGTCGACAGGAGCAGCATCGCGAGAATCCTCTCGGGACATGGCATGAGACTCAGCTTCTCGGCGCTCAGCCTCTACATATCCCTCCCGTTCGGCGCGGTTCATACTGCGCCAGGATTCTGAATCGATAGAGTTCGGTTTTCGAGACCCTTTATATGCCCGCTCGGAATGCGGCACACTCTGACGATAAGGCAAACCCCCCTCGCCTTCCAGGATCTCCGACCCGTGATAAGGAGGTAGCTTCTTCTTGGGTGGGGCATAGCCGTCATCATAAAATTCGACATTGCCGGTCCAGAGCTGCATGAGTCTTGTTTTGCCGAAGGCATACCCGGTCTCATAGATCGTAACCGGGCTTTTGTCCTTGTATTGAACATGTGATATACGCACCGTGCTCAGCTTCCATGGATCAGGCGACTCCCCAACGGAACCGGGAGTCTTACTGGGATGAACCATCGCTTTCCTTGGAACAACGACGTGATACGTCCATTTATGCACAGATGGGTCATATTCCCAGTAGTCAACACCTCCTCCATGAGAGGACTCTGCTCGTAACTCAGCCTCGCGAGCTTGGCGAATATCATCATCGGTCATTCGCGTTGACTCATCAAGGGCGAAGATTTCATCGATATCTTCGAGATCGAGCATGTCGGAGGCGTCAAGACGCTCACTTGGCTTAGGCACATTAGAATGCATCGCGGGATCGTTGATGCACACTGATCGTGTCTGTTTATCGTATACAGCCAGCATCGGAAATGTCCATCGCTCCTTGGGTGAGCAGTATAGCTTCTTGACCTGATGGACGCTCGCACGCAGTGCGTCGCGCTTGAAATCTTCAAGGTCGGCGACTATATAGTCACCATCCCACCTGCCCCCATTCTCGAAGTGGTAACCCAGAAACACACCGGGTTTGCTCGTGGGAGAGAATTTGCTGGGGCGCTGGTAGGACGATAGGCGTTGATCCATGTCTGGTCCCTGGAGGGATCCAGGTCGATCGTCGTCTCCATCGTCGATCCACTCGAGATAACCATCATCATCGAACCCAACTTCGACTTCGACCAATCCATCATCTCCAGGCGCAGGTACGGCATATTCCTCACCATCGCCGAGTACGACTTCATCTTTCTGACTACGTCGGGTTTGTTTTCGTGCCGGCGTGGGATAGAAGTCTACAAGACATCCGAATGGGAGAACCTGACCGTCAAATTCGGCACCATTAAATCGTAGCGAATACGCACTTTGTCCTTCGCGTAACTCGATGTTGCGAGCATGACAAAAGTGCTTGCACGCATAAGGCCAGAATTTGGCGCTCAGTCCCGCTTGTCGAAGCGCCACTCGTGCGCCATGAAGGACAAGCTTCACCTTGCTCTCGGCAATGGCATTAGTGCGAGGCATGCCAGGAGTGGAATGTTTTACAGAGATGCCGACTCTTTTGCAGGTCGATATGAACTCACGGGCTTTATCACAGTAGATTTCCCGGATCGCAGACGGTGCATACCTTCTCTCCACATCCATGGAGAACGAGTTCACATCTTGAAGGTCGCCGAAGACCTGCTGGAACGCTCGAAGCGTGTCGGCATTCGTCCTCCCCTTGACGGGAACACTCTCTAACCACTCGGTCGCTAGATCATAGAAGACAACAGCATCTGTTTCCGCATTATTCCCACGATTGCCAAGCCCGTGCAACACCATAGTATCGATGGTGACGTGCTCGCCAAATTTCTCAAACCCTTTATCGCGTGGTGAGTCTTGGCGAAACGATTTAACGTTTTCCATCTTTGCACGTTGGCATGCATCGCAGTAGGGATTCTTAGGTAGATGGGTCATAAGGTGACGGATGGACTTAGCCTCCTCCCTCAGATCGCGCGCTCTCGGTTCATCGGGCGGCGACTGATGCTTAGGCTTGTTAGGCACCTTCTTGATGTCGTCAGGTGCACTTTTCTGGGCACTCTTGGCACCAGGCATATCAAGATCGAGCTCACCAATGTCGTCTAGCTCGCCCACAGGTTCTTCACCCGCAGCCACGATTTTCTCGTGAATAATGATCGGTGCTGGGAGTGCCGGATACACACGAGGGAGATCAGGTCGACCCGCGACTACCTCGGTTTCGCTCGGAGCGAGGTAGGGGATGTTATTGATAACATCAATCTTGAGTTGTCTCCCTTTGGGATCAAAGAATATCGGATCACAAAAGGGTTCCCAGATAAATCGGTAACCAAGCTCCTTGCATCGTTTCCCTAGGGAAAGAAGACTTGGTGTGCTCTCCAGCACATAAGCTTCAATCAGCTCATCGAGGCCGTCAATGCGCATATGGGCAACACCTTTGGTGTTAGTTTTCCCATTGGCGGTCCTAAGGCTGATCTTAGCATTGTGAACTATCAGGTCCCTTTCTTCGCGGGACAGATCACCGAGACCAATAAGGTCTATACCGCAACCGGAGTCGAGCATTAGTCTCCGGACCCTCTTAATAGACTTGACAGCAGCAGCAAAGACCTCGCAAGCGCTCCGCTGAGAAAGCGTGAGCTCAAGAACACAAGCATCATTACCTAGCGTTTTGGCATCAACGTCATCGAGCAAAACCTGCTCTCTCCAAAGCACAGCCTTCATGTGCGCCCTTCGCCTCTCGCGAGCACTATTCAGACCACGGATATCTTCCGGCCACGAATAGTTCAAATTCCTCTCGCGATTGACGGGACCGAAGTTTGGCTCCGGGAAAGAAGACTCTATCACGCGGGTCTCAGTATTCCCAAACGACACTGTCTTCCGCTTGACTGACGGACATGCCATATCGAATGATGCAACGCAAGCGAAGGCGAAGTCTCCATAGGAGGATGCTGTCATTGCCTGAGGGTTGCGGCACGCCCCTCTCAAAAATCCGAGGGCGTGGGCGCCGGGCTGTCAACCCGCCTTGACGCGCGGGCTCAGCAGGCGCAGGAGCGGCAGCAGGGGTGCTCTCAGCTGGGGCACCCGGCTTCACATGCTTATAAGGACACTTGTCTCCTCTCGAGCAAGTGCCTCGTGCAAAGTAGAAGCAAATACCAGACTCCTTTGAAATCGGTGATTGCGATCGAGGCGGGAAACCCTTCGGCGAGGAGCTTCTATGCCAGTCCGGGGCTAACCGGGTCCTTTCCGTTATGGAACCGGGTCCTAGGATTTATGTTGCTGACATGAGTGACATGTAAGAACACGTGTATATAGGACATGTGTTGCTGACATGATGGACATGTAAGAACACGTGTATATAGGACACGTGTTGCTGACATGATGGACATGCAAGAACACGTGTGATGGACATGTAAGAACACGTGTATATAGGACACTTGTTGCTGACATGATGGACATGTCAGAACACGTGTATATAGGACACGTAAAGCAACATGTCTGATGTCGTGCTGAAGGGGGGGGGGCAGGACGGAAAACAAATGCAACTACTGCAGCAACATTGGGCCTACGTCATGTGTGTTCTTGTGGCTCTATGGAAAGAGCGAGATGCTGGACATGTATAAAAAGATGTGTGCTTGTGGCTCAATAGAAAAATCAATGCCTGAAAAACTTGGTTTGTTCGAAATGTGAAAACATGTACATCGAAAAATCAAAGCCATACTGACATAATTGCCTGTCCCAAGTTTTGTAGTTCACATGGAATTTCTTTGTTGCAAGATATTTTTGAAGTTATTTTGAAGATTCGTTTGTGCCGAGCAAACCAAACAAATGCAACTTGGTGTTCTTGTGGCTCAACGAAAACAAGAAGCTTGAGATTTTGTGTTCTGAAACCCTAAAGTCAGCTTTTTGTACGATTCACAACGACTTGAAAATTAGTGTGTGTGTTCATGATTAAACATGAAGGGAATCTAAGCTTTCGTAACGTCCAGCTCATGCCCTAAACCCTGGACCCTAAACTGTAATCCCACCCAACCCCCAAACCCGCCCACCCACTCCTGCAGGTAGGTATAGATAAGTAGATAGGCAGGAGGGAGGTACTTGTAGGTCTAGGTGCACCGGCAGGCTTCCAGGTCTCTAGATAGCTAGGTAGGCGGGCATGTAGGTAAGGAGGCATTGATCAGGAAAGAAGTTTAAAGGTAGCAGGCAAAAGTAGTTGTAATTAGGCATTCGCGCAGGCTCTGTCAGGATGTCAGGTCGCCACATCAGAGGTCTTCGGAGCCCCGTGCAGGGGCGTACCCGCACCAAGCCCTTGAAGGGGCTGCGGGATGAACCCCGAATAGGGGTGAGCTTGGACCCCGAACAGGGGTCGTCGGAGCCCCGTACAGGGGTGTGGATGAACCCCGAAAAGGGGTGAGCCTGGACCCCGAACAGGGGTCGTGAGAACCCCGTGCAGGGGTGTGGATGAACCCCGAACAGGGGTGAGCTTGGACCCCGAACAGGGGTCGTTAGAGCCCCGCACAGGGGCGTCCGATGAACCCCGAAAAGGGTGAGCCTGGACCCTGAACAGGGGTCGTGAGAACCCCATGCAGGGGTGTGGATGAACCCCGAACAGGGGTGAGGATGAACCCCGAGCAGGGGTGAGCCGGATCCTCAAAGACAGATGCAGAGAGAAAGAAAGAGAGAGAGAGAGAGAGAGAGAGAGAGAGAGAGAGAGAGAGACAGCGAAAATAATTAACGAAGCAAGGAAGGAAGCAAGGAAGGAAGGAAGGAAGCAGGGAAGGAAGCAGGGAAGGAAGAAGGAATGATCAAGATGAGGGTGTGACTGTAGATGCGAGGAATGAGCAGGCAGCAAGGAGTGATGTGAGGGAAGGAAGAGGCAGGAAAGTCATGCATGGATTCAGTATCTCTCTGCTCACTTTCCGTCTGTCGCCGGCCAACCAGGCTGAGACAGTCTGCGCATCGAGATCCTCGAAGAGCCCCGGCCTAAGCCACACCAAGACTTGACTGCTGCACCGTCGGTTGCTTCCAAGCTCAACATGTTGGACTGCAGCAGCTTTTCATCTCAAGATTCAAGGAAATCGCACCGTTTTTTCTTGGCGCCACTAGCGCCATGACTGAGCAAGTGTACACCGACGCGGAATGGGCGGCTTGGCGTCGAAGTCAAAACCCTGCAGGAAGCCACCAAAACCCTGCAGGAAGCCACGACGACACAGAGACGGACCCAACGAAGCAAGGCTTCACAAAGGAACTCCGACCCCTTCCGGATGAATGGAAAGTTGAGTGGAAGAAAGCTGAGAAGAACAAGCAGCACTCAGCCAATGACTTCAGCGGTATCAGGCGCCTCTGCAACAGAAGGTTGCAACAGATGTACAACCAATGGAAGAATGAGGTGGAGCTCACGGAGAAGCAGGATTCGGCTATCAACAAGCTCGCCATCTTGACGCATAACAAGGACCGCATGGAAATCGATCGCTTGAGGGAGGTTGAGAAGGAAGCGATTTGGACGAAGAAAATGTACGAGACGAAGATTGCGGACGACAATAAGAAGCACGAGGCCGAACTGGCAGCTGTAAAGAAGAAAGGCGAGGACATGCTGGACGAACTGGAGAACACGCATGAGAGAAACAACCAGGAAAGGGCTAAGAGGCTGTCCATCACGGAAGATACGTACAGGTACAAGTTCGAGGATAGCCAGAAGGAGATGAAGGTACTGACTGCCATGTATGAGAACAAAATCAAAGAGATGAACGCCGAGCACCAGGCACAGATGGCGAAAGAGAAAGAAGAGAACAAGAAAAAGTTCGACGAGAAGGTTTCCAAAGCCCAGACGGACATGACAAACAAGTTCAAGAGCAGGTTGAAGAGGCTCGAGGATGCACAGGTCAAGTACAAAGAGAAAGTCCTCACTGCAACGGGGCTTTGGAGACAGACACTGGCAAGGAAAGAGGATGAGGTCCTGCGGCTCCGGCTACGACTCCGCTTGCAGGAACCCGCGAGCTCGGCGCAGCAAGACAACGAAGAGAAGCTCAAGGACAGTAAGGCTTGGCCCGACAGTTCATTTGTCAGTTGTTCAGTCAGTGAAATGCGCATCTCTGACAGGAGAGTTTGCATCCCACGTCCCCGACGGTCGTTTTCACCCCGACCTCTCCCGCACGCAGCCCGAGCCTTGGTTTCATCACCGCAACCTTGTGCGACCCCAACTTCGCACGTTCCAGGTAGTGACGAGTCCGACTCTGACTTCGATCGGGAAGGAAAGCGATCCCGCTCGCCCAGATCCGACAGGACGGATTATCGCAGTAAGCAGTGAGACGGAATAACGGATTTCATAACGTAGCTGATGGCTCTGATCGTGACATCCCCATGGATTCGAGTCTTAACCAAAACAATCTGACATCTAGTGATTCTGAATCCGCTTACAGTTTCAAGAACACGACGAACTCCATGGTTGATGCGGCGGCACAGGGGCATGGGCCCGGTGGCCGTGTGAAGTTCCTAGAAAGACTTAGGACTTCTGACTGGATGGGTCATGAAGCCAAGAGCAGCATCGGAAAAAGTCGCATGCATCAGGGACCATTCCTGCATGACAACCCCGCCACCCCCCCCAAACCACCCACCACGAACCGGTCCCCCAACCAATTCCCGCACCCCTGATTCACACCCACCCACCGTCACCCAGCCACCTAACCGCCCCACCCATCCATCAACCACCCACCGAGAAACCCACCCACCCCCCCCAACCCCCCTGTGCTGGGCGGCCTGTTCGGTGCTTGCACTTAAGTGACAGACACTTCTTAAACACGGTGGGTGGTGATGTCTCTGACACGAAAGGTCAACGTATTCCTCGAGACCTACAAGCAGGACCGACTGCCACATGGAAGATCCGAAACAGCAAGAGCGACATCATGTCGCTCTTGCTGTTGCGGATGTGTGGTGCAGGTCGAAAGCGACACGACCTGCACTAAGGTGCAAGAAGGCCTTGACGGTGGCTACATCATCCCAGAAGGTTCATGGTGCAGGACTGGTAGGTACCCGCTCCTGCACCTTGAACCTACTGGGATGATAAAGGGGACATGCTGACTGGAGGCTGGGAAGTGGCACGTCTTGAGCTCGGCGGTGATGTCTCTAGCACGAAAGGCCTACGTACTCCTCACCTAGAAGCGCGACGGACGAGCACACCAACATGCTCACTGGTCACTGGAGGCTGGGCAGTGCCACTTTTAAGCTCGGTGCTTCAGACGGACATGACAGTTTCAGGAACAGTGCGGCATGTGCAGTCCATGGCTGTGTGATGCTGTGAGTGTGCGCCCGTCTGACAGCAGAACTATCTCAAGCTTCCCAAAGGAGTACACTTTTCATAGCCCTTTGCATCATGGTGGAGCTCACGGAGGTGTTGCTCGCTTTGGCAATTGTAGCCATTGGCTACATGTACAGCATACAGCAGAACCAGCAGAACAAGAGAAGGGCCAAGCAGGAGGAGGACAGCGGCAGCGAAGAAGAGATCAGGCCCAGGAGGAGGAAGGCCAGGGCCAGTCTCATGGAGGAGGACAGCGGCAACGGGAGGTCAGACCGCAATAATGACAAAAAGCATACGGCCACAGCACAACCACAAGATCCAATAGAACCAACACAGCAGGAAAGCAAGCCCAAAGATGAAGCTGGCAAGGATCCGCCAAAGGAAAGCAAGCCCAAAGATGAAGCTGGCAAGGATCCGCCAAAGGAAGCCAAGGATTTGGAGCCCGAGAACTTCCAGGAACGTGCAGAGGCCGCGGTCCAACGCATGGTGGCCGCCGTTCACACTATGCACGGATCTTTGCAGACAGTTCAGAGCTCCGAGACGGAAATTTCCTCGTTAGGGGACAAGATGAAGAACATCCTCTTGGAGATAGCCGAGCTGAGACAGAAGCAAGAGGAGCACGTGTCGGAGCTTGGCAAGCTACCCGACATGGTCGTCGCTCTGG